CCATAGTCACCCCTTGTAGCCCATCCTCACTTCCACTTTCCATATAATTTTTTTGCATTTGAGCTCAGCCAGGGGTTTCTCAGCCAGCCAGTCTGTCCTCCTGCTATGCCTATGTGTTGTTTTGCATGGTGGAAGTAATCCCTTTGAAAGGCAACCAGCTCTGGCCCCCCTACCCCTTGGGGCAGCCTCCCATGGGCTCCTGCCAAACAGAGCCCTGAACAAGATAAGAGTTCCCTTCCCTGAACTCCGAGACTATTAGCCTGTTACTTGTTTTCCTCTCTGCTCTCAGGATTTTTAACTCTGTCATCTCATGGTCACTGTAGCCAAGGTTGCCATTGACTATTGCATCGGAGCACTTATTCCTGGGTAGCAGATCTAGAGTACCCCACTCTATCCTGTCCAGCACCCACGTAAAAGATGGTCTCTGACACACTCTAAGTCTCCTGCCTTGCTTGCGTTCTGCCATGTTGCTCTTCCTGCAAATCAGAGGTGGTTAAAAATCCCCAGGAAAACCACAGCATGCAAATCAGGAGACTTCTTCAAATTGTTTAAGGAAGGCTTCATTCTCTTCCTTTTCTTGATCGAATGGTCTGTCGCAGGTGCCTACCACAGTATCCCTTTTGTTGGCCTCCCCTTTAGCCATAACAACAAACTCTTGGCGGGCCTGTTTTCTATTCCATTTACAGAATACAGGGCTTTTTCTATGACATTTACGCTCTGTGGACCTCCCCCCCCGGCTCTGTTTTTCTTCCCTGCCTGCTTGTTAAGCTCACGTCCATCTGTTGTAGCACTCCAGTTCTGCAAGCTATTCCATCATGCTCCTCTCATCCCAGCGATGTCAGTTTTGTGACTGCAGACTTCCTCTTGTTTACTGTTGCACGTTTGTTTGTGAAAAGAACCTCAGATGATCCCAGTCACCTTAATTTTTTTCATCCCTCAGACTCTCCTGTGTGTGCTCCCTTCAACTCCCACATACCTGCAGGCTTTGGTCTTCACATGCAGCAAACCTAGTTTAAACACTTCACAAAGTTAGCAACCCTGTCAGCAAAGATAATCATCTTCATCAGGTGCATCCTGTCTTTTCCTAGCAGACCTCATCCCTCAGAGAAGGTTCCATAGCCATAAAAAATTCCATGGGAATCCCAACCCTGCCTTGGTTAAACATTGTCTCTGGCCTTCCCCTCCTTCCATGCAATGGGGGACTGGGCTTCTTGTCTTTACAATGGCCACAAAGTACCTTTGCCCTCCTGTTGGCATACCTGATGCCATCCAGTCTGCTTCACCTGGCAGCTCAGGGTCCTGACCAGAACACAGCTCCTGCAGGTAAGGCTCCTGTCACACCCAACCTCCGAGAAGCTCCAGGCACTCCCTGCAGCCTGCATCTGGATAGCCACATCCTCCCCAGGGTTGCGTCTGAATCGAGGTCTCCAGTATGCTGTGGTAGTTGCTCTGGCTGGTGCTAAGGACTGTGTCTTGTGGCTTGTCACCATCATCTACTGGTCTCAAGCACCACCTATGGCCTTACTGTTCACCCTCTTCCACTAACTCCTTCCTGTTTGAACAAGCTGGGCATTGAGAAAGATGAACATGCACCTGCTCCGCTCACCCGTACTCAGCAGGCAGCTTCTCCATCTCTCAGTGCTTCGCTGCATTCTTCCCACATTGTGAATGCCGGCTCCCCTCAGGCAGACTGCTTCCTCACGCACCATGCACCCACCAGGATACAGAACATTTTTGAGGAGCTGACAAAGCACTGTGTTCCCCTCGGTCGAATGACACGGGCAAAAAACCCTCAACACTAAAAGCAAACGTTCAGTTAATTGAACAAAGCAAGTGTTCCCCAAAATAACCTTTAATAATTACATGCTCAACTTTTTTTGTTGTTGGGATAACATAGTTAAAAAGAGGAAAAAAACTGGCACACAGCAGTTAAAGCAGGAGAGGAGTGAGAATGTGCGAGAGGAACAGCTCTGCAGACACCTGGTGAAGGAGGTGTTCCAGGCACTGGAGCAGAGATGCCTCTGCAGCCCCTGGTGAAGACCATGGTGAGGCTGGCTGTGCCCCTGCAGCCCAGGGAGCTCCATGCTGGAGCAGATCCCCACCTGCAGCCCATGGAGGACCCCACGCCAGAGCAGGTGGATGCCTGAAGGAGGATATGGCCCCATGGGAAGCCCATGCTGGAGTAAGCTCCTGGCAGGACCTGTGGAAAGAGGAGCCCAGGCTGAGGCAGGTTTGCTGGCAGGACTTGTGACCCCGTGGAGGACCCACGCTGGAGCAGTCTGCTCCTGAAGGCCTGCACCCTGTGGAAGGGACCCAGGCTGGAGCAGTTCATGCAGAACTGCAGCCCGTGGGAAGGACTCACACTGGAGAAGTTCATGGAGGACTGTCTCCCATGGGAGGGACCCCACACTGGAGCGGGGGAAGAATGTGAGAAGTCCTCCCCCTGAGGGGGAAGGAGCAGCAGAGACAATGTGTGATGAACTGACCGCAACCCCCATTCCCCATCCCCCTGCACTGCTCAGGGGGGAGGTGCTAGAGAAATTGGGAGCAAAAGTTGAGCCTGGGAAGAAGGGAGGGGTGAGGGGAAGGTGTTTTGAGATTTGGTTTTAGTTCTCATTATCCTGCTCTGATTTTGATTGGCAAGAAGTTAATTTCCCCAAGTTGAGTCTGTTTTGCCCATGATGGTAATTGCTGACTGATCTCTCCCTGTCCTTAGTGCAACCCACAAGCTTCTCGTTGTATTTTTCTTTCCCCTGTCCAGCTGAGCAGGGGGAGTGATAGAGCAGCTTTGGTGGGCACCTGGCCTCTAGCCAAGATCAACCCACCACAAAGCCTAATGTAAAACACCCAACAATATGGCTTGAAATGTACAGCAAAAAAACAAGCATTCAAGAGAGCTTAGCTTGTCAGTCATGTTTAAGTAACTCAAAACAACAATGGTAAACCAAGGCAAAATTTTGCCAATCAACTTTGTCTGTTGAATCATAAACCATCTGACAACTCAGACCAATACCCAGTAACCCTATTCAGTCTGGTCTTAATCAGACTTCAGGATTCACCATCAGAAACTGCAAGATCCTTTGGGCTTAGAAGAAACCTGAGCATGCACACATTCTCAACTGCAGACTAGACTTAACACTGAAAAAAACCCAAACATTTTTCAAGGACCTCCCCCACCTGAGCTTCCCAAATTTCCTAAAAGCTAAGATTCTTGGTTCAAGAAGTCTCAAAAATCCAGTTTAGCCAGCACAATATCTTTATTTTGCAATTTAAATTATTATACACAATTCAGTAAAAGCCCACAGGAGGAACAGCATGGAGACTTACCACTTTTGGGCATTTCCTTAAATTAGAGCCAAAGTCTAAGGTCTCCAATAACCCCCAAGGTAAGAGAGCAACACTTTCCTGTTAACGAAAGTCATGTTAACACTTAAAATATCTAATTAGTTATTTAAAAGGCCACATCTTCAAATGCAATTAGAAATTATTTTATAATGTTTTTGTTTCTTTTGGTATGATAAATTGCCACATATCCTACAGCTAACAGGTAACAGAACATCATGTTTTCCCAAGACATGTAAAAAAGCAAACAACACTGCATCTACATTATTCCATACACCTTAAAAACGAATGCCAGAAATCAACTGATCCCAGGTGTTCAAGTGGAATTTTATTTCCAAAAGACATGCTGTTGTTCCTCTTAAAAAGGAAAAAAAAAAAAAAAAAGAAAGAAAAAAGCCCAAAACAAACTCTTCTTACATAGTATCTTGAGGCACAGGCGCCCCCATACTTAAAGAAATTTTTACATAGGATGTATCATATGTTGCAGCACTTGTTGCTATTTGAAATCTATGGCACATCAATTTTTGGGGGTGAAAAAAAATTCTCCTTTGTGTTCAGCTGCTACAATATGGCACAAAGTTAGAAGTTAAAACCATAACTAAATATTCTGATGGTTTTTTGCTGGCTATTTTGGGGTGCACATAAATAAAAGGCACACTTTCCCCTCTCTCCTCTCAAATCATTTATGTACTGTACAAGCCTAACTTCCCAGCACTGCTCCATGCCTGCTGGCCCAGTGCAAAAAACAGATTTAAGTCAGCATCCAATGCTAGTAGCAGCTCTATATGCTTAACCAATGGCTTCAGTTTAGCATGCTGCTTCCACTGTGGTGACCATTGATGAGAGACCAACAGTGTTCCGGAAAAAAACTACACAGCCTAAAAAAAAATTTAAAAAATTAAGTTACTTATATTCACTTACATGTATATTTTCCAAATGTGTTCACAATGTTCAGAAAGTGCACATTTTGAAGTCTTGTTTCAGTATTACAAATGTCCATGACCTTATATATAGCAGCGCCATGTACAACAGTATCGTTCAAGAACTGTCGATGTTTCCATTACTGACCCTGTTTTGCAAGAGTATAATGAAAATACATAAATTTGCTCTTAGCTAGAACTTAGTGTCCATAATGTCTTCCTATGGTATTTTTAAATATTTGGATTTAATTCTGTACAGCAGTCAGAATCTGAAAAACAGAATGTTAGTGGTTTCACTTTTTGGCGCTCATTTTTATGCAACAAGGATTTTCAAGAATGAAAGTGAGCTTACAGTACATGAAGAGCCCTCAATAATAAAAGCTCCACAAACCATTAGCACACTGTTAAAAACTTAACAAAAACCACTAAGATTCAGTTAATGATTTGTGGATCGTTACAAAATTACTTTTTGTGATTTAACAACAGATAACATCAATGAAATGATCATATATAGAAACAGCTTAGGTCTTAACAAACATATTTAAACAAGAATATTTGGAGTTAAAACTAGTACTAAATTTAGCTCCTGAATTTAGATTTGAGAGTTTAGATACTTGAGTCTGAAAAACAGCAGTTTCAAGTAAGTCTGGAGCAATTAGGTATTGTGGCTACAATTACCATAAATATGTAATATACACTGACTTGACAAAGTTGTGTTAAAAGAAGTGTGAGTCGAACCACTATCTCTGAAGGTTCTTGCTTTGGTTATCTTTAAAAAAAAATTCAGACTGTTACAATAACAGTACAAGTTCACTATAAAGCCACATGACTCTCTGTAGATGTTCTCTTATCGATTTTTTTTTATTATGCCCACTGCCAGCAATGGACATTCTGCTTGGAAAATCCACCTCTTGCTGTAAAAGGTTTGGCTGAACCAAATGAAGAACATAATTCTGATGTCAGACTCAAATGGGATCGCTCCATTTCATTTAGTTCTTGTTAAGAATATTTAAAAGCCTTCTCCACCTACAGTCTTTTTGAAACACAAGGCACAAATAGGGAGTGGACATTCCAGCAAAAAGTGATTGTCTGAAATTAACAGTCCACAGCAGTCTTCTAGTCCAGCACAATGAAACATTTTTGCTGTTCAATTCTATGCCACGTCTTCTAGATAATCTGCAACATCACTTAACTGAGAAATGGTAAGGTCTTGCGTGATGCCTTCAAGCTAGAAAATAAATGAAATTACAAACTCAGAAATCATAGAAACAGTAAGGATTATTTCTTGTAGTCCTTCATATAGCATCCCATCCTTTTCGCCTCAAGGTTTTTCAGTGAGATTTCACACTCCTTTAGGAGGTGCTCAGACAGATCGAGATACAGAGATAAGACATCGTTATGCTGGATACTAAACCAGTCTCAAATACATTTTACATGCCCAGAAACCAACAGTGAATTGTGCTACCCAACAACTGTTGTGGGGTTTTTGTTTTCTTTTTTAATTAGTATAGTATCTAACTTGGTAGGAATACTAGGTGTATAAGTACAACACATAAATAATACAATCTTAACATGTATCCTAAGAAACTATGATAATGGCAAATTCCTTCACAGAAGGTTAAAAAAAGTCAATATCAGAAGAAAGTAAGAAGAACAACTTTAAGAGACTCATACTTTATCGCTGGTGTTCGACTCCTCTGTTTCCACAGAAATTTCATCTATTTCTTCACCAATACTGATATCACTTTTTTCCGAGCGATGACTAGTACTAAAGAGAAAGAAAACCATAACCATAAAAAGCAGACTTTCTTTTTGAACATCCAGATACTACGTTCACTTTTACTTTATACCTGACATTTGATTAGAATTTCACTTCCTAGAAAGTTAAATATGAAGTTACTTAAAAAAACCCATAACAACTAAAGGCTTTCTACCTAAATGAAGCCATGATAAATACTTAGGCCTCAATCCTGCAGTTTACAACACCGATACCTTCACATCATAAGGATGAGGCTGTTAAATATTTATTACCAACTACTCATGATGCTTTATTTTTTAATTGAGTATTTCAGCATACACATATTCATTGTCTAATAGCATTGATTAGAGTATTAAAACATTAAGTGCATGGTTCAGGGAAAAAAGAAAACCACCTTCCACAAAAAAACCAACAGCTTCTCATCATCTTAAAGTTAGCACCAGGTTTTTAAGGAACTCATTACCCCCTACCCAAAAAAGATCTGTTTTGTTTTGTTAATTTGTAACTATATGTATTAAAATAGCAAACTGAAGTTTAGAGTTCAGAGATACTGACAGACTCCAGCAACAGTGATTAGCTGACATACTACAAAATAATTCAAATATGCTAGTGGATATGCTTATAATGCATGAAATACTACGCTACTGTAGTATCATTCTTCTCTTACCTGTTGAAGTCATCAGCATACTCATCGTCATCTCCATTACCTAAATAATATTAAAAGGTATTAATCAAACAAGTTTTCTCTTCAGGAAATGCAAAAAAAGAATCTATTCCTACACCAAAATACACAGTTTGATGCCCAGCAAAAGTGGGAGCATACTAAATTACTTGTGCAGATTAGGAAGAGAAGACAAGTTTACGTTTGTCATTAGTTAATCTCATTTACACAAACTGTTTTGGAATTGAACACACATTTTCAGGATGTTGACTACGTTGCTGAAGACAAAATTTAAACACTTGCCAGCTCTCTTTTGAGAGCGAGCTGATAGGTCTTATATCACATCACCTTCATATTGCTCCTAAAGTTTACAAGGCAACTTTCAAAGGTGTGGAGGGCAAGTAAACATGCCACTGAAAAACAGTAAGACTCGGTATGGCTAAGTCTGGCTGTTTATTTCCACAAATATAAACCCTCTTTTTTTCTTAGAAACCTAGAAAAAAAGATAGCACTTTATATTAGCAAATGTATGCACAGAACAAATCAAATTTTTGCTGCATGTGTAAAATACTAACCCACATACAAGACCAGTTTTAGCTTTTCTGTATTCCTTTAGATCAGATCTTGCTCTTAACTCCAGTAAGTTTCACAATGGTGTTACAGTGGCAGAATAAAAGGTGAAGATTTTAGTTCAAAATGCGTATTTCAGTTTCTCAGATTCCTCTAAGAAGCTGGTCTGGAACTTACAGTTAAAATCTCAGAGCTTCTTCATGTTTAGCAGTTACTTGCCTAATTCTAGTGATCCCAGTTTTGCATTCACCAACCGCAGGTCTTTCAAAACAGAGTTTCTATTCAAATCTGTAAGAAAACAAAAACATTCGTCAATTTGACTTGTGACTCTTTAGTTAGATCCCACTTAAACATACCCTTCAACCATTTACAACGTGTTCTTTTATAACAACTTATATCATTTTATAGTATAGCATGGTAGTATTATATCCAGTTTTCAGGTCTGAACTCTGCTAACATTTAATAACACGAGTAGCAAACAGAGACAGTCTCACAGTATTCAGGATCAGGTTTTACAACATGAAAGCAAATATCCCCAAAGAACTTGTGCAAATAATGTAAGATAACACCACAAAGGAGTAAGTTAGTTTCAGTTAAAAACTGAGCAGTAGAATTTTATACTCCTGAAAACTGCTTTATATACACAGGAAAAAAAAAACCCAAAAGAGCGTAGATAAGTATTTCATGCTCCAAAACATAAGATGCCCCAATGATAGCATAATGTATCAAAACCAGTATGTGATCCCTCAGTGAGAAAAGCATTACTATAAAGCACATTACAACCAGAAGGGGGCCACATATTTAATCACATTTGCATCTGAGTGTGTAGATAATTCATTACATTACAGGAAATATCTCCTACATTCATGAAAACACAAAGACATGTGAAAACTTACTATCAGACTCCTTTAGCGAAGGTGCACCAGTCAGGGAGCTTAACCCACTTTTTAGAGGCGGTGCATCAGAAAGAGATGCTAGGCCTCCTGCTCTATTAGCTTCAGTTTTCCTAAAACAAACCAAATAAATAAGTACTCCATAGAACTGCAAAATGTGCGTAGTGATTTTCTTTGGTAGATAATAGAAAACTGTCATTAAACTAGAACAGCAATATTTACAGCAAGGGGAAAGGACTATTCGTTCTGCAGTCTAAAAACAGTAGGCAGTTTACTGGCACAAGTGTCAAGCAAGACATTCAGTTAGAAAGTCACTTTCTCACCTACGCAAAGACTTCTGCCTGCCTTCTTTCACAGACAGAGCTCCTGCACCTTCATCAGCATCACTATTTTTATCAAGGGGCCTTTCATTATCCCCACATGTAAATGCAGCCAAAAGAAGAAAGATTCAGATATAAATCAGTATTTAAATTAGTTTTAGAACTAGAAGAGATTATGTCTGACAAAACTATTAGTCCTAAGAGCAGTTGGTTCACAGAATGAAAACCTCTCAGAGCAAGATAGAGCTCATCATCACATGTTGAAGTTCACTTGGCTACAACCTATTCCATTCATACATTTAAATTGTTGAGTTCAAATGCTACTTGCAAGTGAAGTATGAAGAAACACTATTAAAGAGAGATCAAGATTTTGACATTTAGTATTACTGGAACTGTTTGTTACTATGAGTCCATTCCTATTAGTAATAGACAACATTTGACTCTTGCATTATATCTATGTCACCAAAATATCATATATATCATCATGTATTAAAACACTGCAAAATTTTGAAACAGGGGGTCAGAGACCTACGGGCAATGAGAACTTGGATCATCTCTTACTCTACTATAGTTCTTAGTAACTGCTTGCTCCCTTCCTTCCTCTCTAATCCACCCTTCTTACAGGAATGGGAAAAGCTCCCATAAGGAATTTACCTTTTTGCAAAGAAAGCGATGCTGGCGCCTCTCCTACTTACTCATTCCTTGGGACTCAGGCACACCAGCACAATGTGCTCACAAAGGGATTTCAAAATTCAATTTAATTCAAAGAATACGTTCTTTTTTCTCCTCTAGAGGAGCTGCCAGGAGGGTAGAGGTGAAAGACCCAGAGACAGCCCAGTTACAATTAGTTGCTAGCTCATTTATTATTAACATATTCAGCAAACCTTATTATGGAACATTACTATAATATCTACATCACAATAACATTATGAGCTACAAATTACTACCTAGTGGACTGTGACTGTACTACAGACACACATAATCCGGAAATAATTCTTTCTGTAGGGAGTTTCTTTACTGTGAAAAAAAATCCTTATTTTACTGAATAATTAAGAGTCTTTTTCTTGGATGGTCTTTTTAAAGAAATAGTTTACCCAACTTCAAAGTGAATTTCCCTTCTTGTCATATGAAAATACTCAAACAGTAAGAAATGAGTAAATATTATTATTGAGAAGTTTTCCCAGACTTTTCTTGTTTTTCCAAGATATCATTTAAACCCGTTTTATGGCAACACAACCACCTGCTACAATGGTTAGACTTTTTAAAGGCTAGTTAAAGGAGCTCGGGGCAGATGCAGAAATAACAACACTTCACTGAAAACATAGAACTGCACACAAGAGGTGCTGCAATGTGAAGAGGAAACCCTCAGCTGTGAGAAAACTTTGCTTATTCTCACAGTTTATAAAGCCCGTTTGCACATTCACCAGATTTTCTGTACTCCTTACAAAGCCATACAGATATCTAAAACACTATCCCTGTCATTGTCCACTTCCTTTAGCGCTGATCACCACTGCAGCTCTTCTGCAAGAAGAAACACTGATGTCTGTGCCTCATACATGTTCATTTCACCAAAGTAGTAGGCTGGGGACATTATATAGTTTAACTGATGCACCTTAAAGTGCTACAGGTTTTACTACTCATGGTACATCCAAGAGATCCCAGATGACACTGTGCATTTCAAAGAATGGAATCATAGAAATGCACATTTCAGAAACAAAATGCTACAGAACAGAACTAAACACTCGCATTTACAAGTGCGAATAATCAAACATCACCTAGCTCTCAAAGGTCTGCAAGCATACTAAGGACAAAATAAACTTGTATTAAGTAGAACATCCATGTTACTTACCAGCCATAAGTTCTTTCTGGTTTGGGTATAGGATCATCAAAAAAAGAATCTCCCTCTACATCATCTTCATCTACACCTGGATCACCTTTTTCTTTGGTATTTAAGTCTTTGTTTTCTAGTTGGGAATCTAGTTTTGTTTCATTAGGCAGAAAATGAATGCTTCTTTTGCTTGCTTCCCCTGATGAGATGTTTGTATCACTCTGAGTGGTTTCATCAGCCTTGAAAGATAAAGAAATTATAGGGATAGGTTAACTATGGTTATGGGTTCAAAAAGCAACATGCCTACCTTGGGTTTCAGACTAATGTTTATTAATAAAGTCAGAGTCCGGTTTCACATTTGCATTTAAACAAAGGTAATTCTTTGCTGTGGTCTTGGCCTCTCCTAGCACACTCCCTTTTATTTTACATGTATTGGGTGCTAAGTCACAGTCAGAGCTATTTCAGCTCACAGGTTTGCTGAAAATCCACCAGAGTCTCCAGTTTCAATTGGGAAGTCTAGACTGTTCAGGTAACTTCCATCTTGCTCCAGCCAGGACTGGCTAAAATTTTCTCCTTCTGCATTATTTTTCACTCCAAGTATGTTGCACAGTCAGAATATTCGCCCATCCTGCCTTTCCCAAGGAGAGAGAGAACCAGGAAAAAATGTACCTAAGAACTCTAGTCCCATTAAGATATTCACTACTTATACTTAGAGGAGTAGGTAGTCCAACCAACAGCTGTTGCAGTTTCTGTGAGGAAACATCCATACAGAAACCAATTTTCTCCTGTTTCTGAGATAAATATATTTTCATAGAGGATTCAGCAATATATTATGAAAAGCATTTCCAGAATATGTTGATCTGTCTTCCACTGCAATGGAATTATGATTTGTTTGCCATAGAAGATGGGTATAAAGAACATAAAAAAACAATCATAAATTCCAGCTCATTGGAAATTATCTTCTATTTGCAACCCTGTCACAACCGAAAGAGCATGTAAATGAAAGTGTTCTTATCACCACCTCGGCTGCTGCTGCATGCCATAAGTATTCAACTATTAACTGTGGTGTTCTAACAATTCACAAAGCTTTCCTTAAAATAAGGAAACATGGTTCAATGTTTCTTTTGAAATTATCTTTTACCACCACTTTAATACTTCTTGCTCAGAATTAAATACTCCTATCTGGTAGTTTCTCTAAAACTTAGACCTTGGAATAAATCTTAGAATCACTTTCTTGTGTCCATATACTTACTGGGGATTAAGGAATGTAAGGAAAAAAAAAATGCCACTATTGACTGGACCAATCCCAATCACTATCATTAAGCTGAAGTCAGTCAATAGAAGAAGCTTTTGCATCTATGGACTAGTACATCTAAATAGTTGATAGCAGCCTATCAACTGAATAAAAGAAATTTATTTCTTTAACAAAAAAAAAAAAATTTTTTAACAAAAAGAATCCTGACAACCTCAGCACAGAGAAGAATACAACACACTGCAATACAGTATCACTTCTGGAAACCAGCACTGATCTTTGAAAAATCATTCAGACATGGTTTATATTTATTTTCTACCCAGTTTGGGCAGCACTATTTGAGCTGGGTACAGGAGTTCCCGTTTTGTACGGGCCCAAACAATTGTGATAAAAGAAATAAGACTGTCAT